GCGTGAAGATTTGATCCGCGCATCCGCGGCCAGGACAGCAACCAGCTTGTTCTTCACGGTAGTATGATTCACGTACTGAGGAAAGTCTACGAAGCAGAATGGATGCCAATAGCTTAGAGGCAACCGAAATAAGACTAATCCCGCGATGATTTGCACATGAAGTGCGAGCACCTTTTCTGAAAATCGGGACAATAACTGATTCGCCCCAAGAGGGAGGCAATTTCTCTTCATGCCAGATTTTTGCGAACAGCGCGGTCAGCTGCTTAAGGATCGCCACACCGCCGTACTTGAATAGCTCCGGAGGAAGTCGGTCTAAGCCAGCAGCGTTGAAGCGCTTCAAGCGTCGAATCTCGAGGCAGACTTCTACTTCGCTGGGTGGATTCAGTGGGACGAGCCAGGGTGGACAACAAGGTGTACAACATGTACTGATGGATGGTGGAGGCCAGTTGAACTGCGAGTGAAAGTGCTCGGCCCATCGGTTCATACACCTATGTTGGTTGGTGATCGGAGACGCATCCACCTCACAAATGACCTCACTGACACAAGGCTTCCTGAGGCCAATGGACCAAATGACTTGGAAAAGCCTGCGAGTGTTGCCAGTCAGAGCAGCGGTTTACAGCTCTAAAGCACGCTCAAACCACCATATCTCGCGATCCTTGCGTAGGTTTTGCTTGAGCAGTCGGTTGGCAGAACGGCGCCGCTCGTTGCAATCTGATTCCGCGGGTATATCTTTGCGGCGTTCGAACAGCTCCAGAGAACGAGCAGAGATCCAGACCGCAGTTGGACTGTCCGGAAATGGTCGTCGTTTTCCATATACAAGTTCAGTGTTGTTCCACTTCTTGCGGTGGATTGCAACTGAGTGCATATGTCAGTGAAGACTGATAGCTCGCCTGGACAAAGGAATCAGTTAATCTGTGTACATCAATCTTGCGGTGCTTCGTGTTTCTGGACCCTCCAAAACACTTACAGAGTTTCGCGCAGACCGTAGCATGATCTGAGTCAACGAAGGTGGACCAAAGGACCTGCAGTCCAGTACGCTGCCGCGCCATCTGAAGCTAATTGCAATGTGATCAATTTGAGACCACAGTTGTGTTGAAGACAGGGGACGCCCCGATGCGGAACGCTTCTTCGTACGCCTGAACTTAGTGCTCGAAAGAAACAGACGGTTGTCTTCGCACAATGTGAGAAGTCTCTCTCCGTTATCAAAGCGGTTCTCATCGAGCGCGTGATGACCACCAAGGTGGCGTTCATATGGTAACAAGCGGCCAACCCGTGCATTAAAATCTCCAGCAAGGATAACGACATCCGACTTTTTAGCATTAGTCAAGAGCGGATGTAGATCCCGGTAGAATTCGTCCTTGACCGAGTCGCCACTGCAGTCAGTTGGAGCGTACGCTGAGGTCACAAACAAGTTGCGTCTCTCTTGGCGGTGCCTGTTGATTCTACATGAACCCCGAAGCCGAACTGCACATAGTCGGCTGTTAATCTGGAAGCAATCCAGTAGTGCCGTCTCGGCCTTGCCACTTAGTGCTATACCTACACCAGCCAAATCCGCTGAGGCTGCTTTTGGATCTCCAGAAAGACGCAGGTGATATCTGGCATCGTGGTCAGTGGGGGATGTTAAGGCTGCAATAACCACATCTTTACGTCAGTTGTTGGAATCACCATGTTTATTGGCTACCCACTGTAGTTATTTCTCGACATTCAAGATGCCTTCGATTTGGTGGATCTATTTGCGCTTTGTTACTGTCTGCTCAGGGCAAGTCTGCCCGAGAAATACGTAAACGTTATCCGAACGCTGTACGCGCATAGTTCGGACAGGATGAGGGTTTATGGCAAACTGTTGTGCCCCTTCAAGATTTGCAGCGGTGTGAGACAATGTTGCCTGCTATCACTTTTCCTCTTTACTTTCGCGATTGGCGAAGCCATGGAAACGGCGTTTGCATGACACGACCTACAATGTGGGGAGTTGTTTCCTGGTTAGCGACTTCTTGACTTGAAATATGCCCGACGGCATTGCCCTAATTTGAGACAGCTCCCAAATTTGTCAAGTAGCACTGGACAGATTAGCACTGACTGTCAATCGTTTTGGCTATGTTTTGTACCCTCGAAATGCAAAGTCCTTCCCCAAGATTGGCAGAACCCACACCTGCGCTGGCCCTCGGTGGCGATCAGATAGAAGTTGTCCAGAAATTGGAGAAAACTCGAGGCGATTTTGACAATCTCCGCCACCTGTGGAGCCGCTGCAACATCACCCTTACACTGATGGGGAGAGTTTACAATGCAGTCGTGCGTTCAATCATCCTTTACGGTTGTGAAACCGGGTCCATCAGATCGACAGACCTGAAGAGGCTAGTTATTTTCGACCATCGCTGTCTTCGCAGCTTAACTCATGTCTGGTGGGAGCTTCACATGAGCAATGAATGTGTTCGGCGTCATGTATTTGGCGCAGGAAGAGCGATTGAACCGCTTAGCACTGTTGGATCACTCACTAGGCTGTAATGGCTGGGTCACATGTTACACTTGCTAACACCTCGCCTCCCGCGACGTGTGTTCTTTGCGCCCCTGGGGTCTGGATGGAAGAAGAGGAGGGAGATCGAGCGCTGACTTGGTTAAGAAGAATGAAGACCCTCACTTCGAACTTGGCGTCGGTTGATATCTCCCGACTGCCTGGCTGGGGTCCGATGTACGATGAACACGTTTGGTTGAATACACTAGTTGGCACAGTGAAGAGCCGACCTCATTGGCGTTTTTGCTGTGCGTTTCTTTGTTCCTCTTCCTCCTCTTTAGCTTCAACCTTGTACCACGATTAATAATATACCATTTAACGCATTACTTATTTTTGTTTCAGTTTTTGTGATCTGTAATGTTATGTAACTTTTTATACTGCGGTACATTAGGTGAGGTGTTTCCCACCCAGGCTGTGCTTAAAAGCCAAGTAACCGCGGCGATGTGGACACCAGCTGTGGCACAGCAACCCAGGTAATTGGTGGCTGTTCATTGATGGCTAGAACCGACGGTGTGTCGACAGATTCGGTCGGTCGGCCGGCCGGTGCCCGAGTGGTATACACGCCTGGCTTGCATTCATAAGGTCACCATTTCGAATCTGCGTAGGGGCTGACGTCCTCACGAACTACTCAGCCCAAGCGCGACTGCTGGTGGTCGCGCGACAGGGAAGTGCCGTTACGGCGTACAGTTGACGATTATTATTATTATTATTACTTACTTTGAAGATGCGAAGCGTGAGGCACACAGCATCGGTCTACTCAGACGTGCTGAGTACAACTTGGCATGATTCAAGGTAGATTATCATCCGCTTACTGTATGCCCGTCGATCGGTAACCCAGCAAAACCTCAATTCCAGAAGAACGCGGGAGGACAGAGATACGCAATCATTTACATCCAAAAGTTCAAAAGAAATAGGCTATTAGGGAACCCTGGTATATTTGAACCAATTCCAGTCGGGATTCGGCTCCTCGTTTTCGTTACCTACTACTGACTAATTAGTTCGTCTTGGCATGGTTAAATCACGAACTGTGGATTCGAATGGTGAGTGTGAAACTTCGAAACAAGCCACTTTGCTGGATCTAGTGAGCGAATGCCACGTGAGGGCATACTGGAGCACGATTGGGATTTGTGCATTTACTACAAATCTACGTCCGAACTTAAACAAACTTTCGACATCTGTAGCTTATGGCAATATGGTAAATCTCAGTCCAGGTCACCATTGGATTCGTGAGCACTAGGCATAGGGATGTGAATGTTTGTGCTGGAAAGCGGGGCTACTAGTATAGAGATTCTGCTCGGTATATAGTCGAGGAAATTGATCGTCATTATTCGTCCGATGGGCGTCGACCCCGAAACGTCCTCCAATGCATTGTTCGGAACTTGATAAGTAACCCACTTGGGTATTTGCGCTGCCATCAACGACAACACTATCAACATCTCCTCATACCGATGGGAGATGAGTGTTGCCGTCCTTGATAGCCTCCAGTCTGCAGTTGATTGAGTCATACATCGCGACAGTAAAATGACACTTTGCTTTCAGGCGGTTTCTGTTAACTTCCATTGGGGTCCGAATTCGAATCACACAAATGTATCTGTCAACTGGATCAACTCGGATAGATTACTTTCGATGTTTCTAATGGAGGCGGCACCAACGCCATGCTTGCCTCGTGTCATTGACCCGTTGTTATCAGATACGTTGGTGGTCTTATTTTGAGTTATTCAGAACCAGCTAACCGTGGAGTCGTTAAGAAACTCTTATCTTGGGTGCGTGTTTCGGAGACAGCACACACCAATTCTACGGGATTGAAATGTGAGTTAGTGCGGCTCGTTGACCAGGCTAACCCGGAGCGCAGACGTTGAGACGATTGATGTGTAATGAGATCGTTGTCATAAATAATGCGCCATCTACATCCTCAGCAATACTTACCAAGTTGGTGGAAGTCTGTCGCCCCTTAGCGTGGGAAGGAAAGGCAAAAAACAGGGTCAGCGATGCTGCCCAGCGGTCTACTCAAAGAGAAGAGTTTTATCTGTGGTTCCCTAGCTCAATTATTCAATTGTTCGGTTTAACAAGCAGTTCCAGTATGCTATTATCGACTCTGATTAGTTTTTTAATCATAACTAAAGTACATTGTTTTCTTTTCTATCCCTGGTCGGGAGGCATCTTTCGTTTTCCTATGTGCGCTATCCATCAGGTCGATAAATAAAACCACATCCAGCTTTGTTTAAACTATACTGTTGCCGTGCTTGCTATCAGCACTTTATGTTTCTCACTCGTGGGTTGCCATTCGCTTCTCGATCTAAGGAAAATACCTTGATGGGTGATTATTCCGGGAGTCGAACTGGACCACTGAGGTGCTTTGTGCAGTTTCCCTTAATGAGTAGTCACCCGCTGCGTTCCCGATTATTTCCTGCATCGCACTATTCATAAACTAGACGTTGTTTGCCACGTATTAGATACACCTCAGCTGTCCTCATTCCTGTTGCATGCACAGATACCTTGTGCCATTCCGTGATGGTCTTCTGCAGCAAGGATGGGTGTGGCCCGAGTCTGACACATTTGCTCGGGCAGCAGGAGATTTCCTGGACTTGATCTTAGCTTATGATTGCTCCGAAAATGGTTCCGTTGTCCATAGTAAGAGCCCGCGTACCAGCTCAGTGGTCACCTCTTCCTACGGCTCCGTTGCTGAACTCAATCTGGACGATGAAGTGAACCCAAAGGACGTCGAAGGTGACCAGGCTTTTCTGTCTCCAATGAGTGATGTCTCCGGATTGATTAATGGTTTCAGTGGTGAGTTCCATTTTCTCCGTAGAGTCGAATGACAACTCAGCTGCTGCTTCCAGAACCAAGGCGTTTTGGTTCCACACAGTGCTTTTCTTTTGTGGTCCAGTCGAAGCATATCTCGTCTTCTCGAAAATCAGTAGCTCGTTGATTTCATTAGATTTCATTAGCTGTTCAATCTTCTGAAGTTCCTTCTAAACCTATCACCACCGTTCAAAAACTGGCAGTTGTAGTCGTAACAGCTTACGTTGTGTAAAGAGGTTAACTATTGGCCTATTTTTATTCATTTTCTCTATTTCCCCCACCTGTTTGGTAGCCTGCTCCTTGTTTGTTCTTTTTTGCACAGCCGAACACAGAACACAGATTTAAGGACTTCAGTTTCTCGGTTATACATCTAAGGTCTGGCTTCACTGTAACACCTGTGTAGGAGATTCACTTATTTCCTTGGTGATATGAATCTGGATCCGTCCTTTCGCAGGTGTTAACCTTGGCACCTGTATTTTTTACAAATATACTGCAGGGCAATTCCTCCAACACTTTGATTTCCGGTAATGTTGATTTCAGTGTTACGATGCCCATTTTATTTTAAGCCATTTCCCACGACTGCGTTTGCAGTATAACTTGCTCCTCGCTGCTTTTTCATCAGGAACTGGACTTCCCTCAACGTCACAACTTGAATCGCTTCAGACGAACGGAAGCTCCACTTACCGGACGGCGAACATGTGTGCACTCATACCCGTTCACTCGGAGTCTGTCACTAACCGCAAGATTACCATTGGAATCCCTGGGTGCAGAGATCTAACATTGGTTCACGCACACCACTCCCCGATGCATACACATTCTTTTTGTGCCCAGCATGAACTTAAGGCATGCGTAGCGGCGGAAGATTGGTTAAGCTATGTCGCTTGGGCCCGAGAGGCCATTCGTTCTCGCGCGAACGCTTGCAGCCAATGGCGGTTACAGTTTGATCAGCAGAATCCCACAGCGGTACAACTGGCAAGTTTTGAACAATACTTGCAGAAAAGTAGACAACACAATGGAGACACTACCGTTCAATCGTATCAAGCATTGGTACCAGAACATAGCCTACAAAACCTGTCTCCTTTCAGTTTTCTTACTATCCACCCGTACGCGCGCACTGAAATAGCTCTACAAGCGGGTGAGGAAGCAGCAAGATCCATCCACTTGACGGTGAGCAAATTGGACATCGATGCGGAGTTAGAATTGGACGCCTCGAGTCCGGAATCCCCTCCGCCGAACAAATCCACAAACCTATATCTCAACAAAGAAACTGCCCAGCAAACATTCTTCCCAACCAGAGAATCATCTGTCGCTTCCGCACATCTTGCTTGCCGTAATACGAATGTGTTTTCGGATGACTTGGACTCTGCTGATTCTGGGTGTTTAATCACGGATCGCAGGCCGAACCGGATCAGTCCCCTGTACACCAGTTTGAGCGACTACCATCTCTCATCTCTGTCCCCCAAAACTTGGTCCAACATATCCAATGTCCAAAAAATCAAATCTTGGTATTGCCTAAGCTACACAGATCCTGATATTGGCCGTTTTCCGACAGAAGGTGATGAGCCACCACTTGTTCCTGCAGCTGAGCCACCACCGAAGACCAATGCACCGGTTTGTTGCCGCTGTAACTCCACTCGTGACCTTGATATGCAAGCGTTGCAACGTGTTTCGAGTGCATTAGACCTGGACACCTTCGTTGGTTGTCTGGATAAACTGGACTGCGCCGATTTGTTGGATCATTCAGGTAGACATGTGCAGTCTATCGAATTGGAGTCTTATTTCAGCGGATCTATTGATCCTACTCCGCGAAGCCAACATGACACGGCTGGTCCCATCGTGCCACTCGAGTTACACGATATATTGATTTCTGGTTCTCCTCAACAGCAGCAAAGGCGGCTATCTGAGCAAGATGATGCACGATCGTCCATTATTACCACTACCTCGGAGTGTTGGAATCAAAGGGGAAGGCATTCGCTTCGTCACACCCCGACTGGTCAGAAAGCCCATCGAATGGCGTGTCATGACTCCACCCAAGACTACGTCAACTCATCGTCTGGCCAGTTTCTCGGTGCTCTCCACAGAAGACGCTCATGTGGTAGCAAGGGTCCGCCCACCGAAATGGTTTCGAACAGTCCAAAGACAACTATCAGACCCATTCAGGACTCTCCTAGTCATACTCCGTTCCCCTCCCTCGGTGAGTTGGTCGGAATTTATTTGATCAGGAATATGCTGCTACTGTCTCGCATCTTAGTTTCTGCTTATACCGTTCCACTTGCTACTTACTATTCGGCACTTCCCCAGTATTGTAAACCGTGCAGTTTTTGTCATGTGCCCACCTTTTTAGGTGGAAAAATAGGGTTAGTTGTGGGTTATAATCTTTCCTTCTGACAGGAAATTGCACACTGCACTTTCCGCCACCCATTTTATGCTTTCGCGCGTCTTGGTTGCCTATTTGTGCAACCCACTTGCCCCCAGTTTTGGGTGCATCATGTCCTCCAATCGCGATGCGCACAGTAGTAGTGATACTTTAGCACACGTGCAGCTAGTTCTTGCGTCGTTGCCCACTCGAGTATGTGGAAAAGTAGATCTACAATATCAGGCTTGGAACTCTCCCTTAAGTCAGCAAGTGGATGAAGCGTTGTGTTCAACGCATTATGATACCCGGAAACTGCTTCCTCCCTCAAAGCTTTCTCCTCTGTGTGTACGCTAATTGGAAAGTGACATGGATTCTTTGTTTCCTCGCATCTGGTATCTAAATGACATCTGACAGCAATCACTTGAATAACTTCCTCGAGGCACACGTCCACCGTTGCTCAGCGTTATCCATTTCCCCACCCTAGCCTAGCGGTCACAGTCTTGCAGAACGACATGCTCTGTGCGCTGTACCGCGTCCAACTGGGGACAGGCGGGAGCCCGGTATCTCGACGACTGCATGTAGAGTGGGCAGTGTCACACGATACATGCACCATCAGGGGCCATCCCGATGAAGAAAGCAAGACTTGTCGGTACTAGACCACTGCATCCGGTTGTGTATCCTCCAAAAGGTTTCATGCATAGCAAAAGGGGCTGGGTGAGCGAAGCCGAAACGGGGCCTGGAGGAGCAAAGAGAGTCGGTACCACGCCTTGTGCCTGCAGGTAGGGGATAGCGCCGTTCTAAGTGCGACGTAGCCTCAGTGGGGAGGTTGTGTGGAGCAGATAAAGCGATACGACAGCGTTACGTTGATGCACAAGCCGATATTGGATAACTTTTGCTATCCGTTGTTTTCACTGTGGCTCGTGTGGGGCTGTCGAGCCTCTGTCGCCCAGGCACCTCGTGTTTCTATCGTTTGACCGATGCTAAACCTGTCGTGCACCTTTGTGTTATTCACTTTTTAACCTTTATGCTTGACCCACAGCCTTCGGTCTTCTTCGACTGTCTGTATGCGCCCTGATATCTGATTACCAGTCGACTTCCAGTTGCTCTGTTGCACTGCATCATCTTAGTGCTCCGCATACTCCCAATAAGATTTTCACCTACTTCCACCTTTCATTCATCATGCTGCACTGCGTACACCCCATGCAGTCTACTATCCTCAGGGATCACAACTATCATCGAGGCTTAAAATCGTACAATCAACATCGCGTCAAACGACTTTTCTGCCTCATCCACTTCATCGTCTGTGGTCGGAGCACTGTATTGGTTTACGCCTACTGAAAAATAATTGTTACATGAGATTTAGAATGATATTGAATGAAGAACGCAAATTCGAGCTACTTGAAGGAATTTACTAATTTCGTTGCACAAAACGGCAATCGATGTGTCCAAGAGATCGAAATAAAGCATACTGCTAAAATGCCGATTACAATATGCCGGGAAAGTTATTTGACAGTTATTCCAGTCTGCTTTCTGTCCGAAAAGATGACCATTCATTGTGACCCAATTTTTCACTTTTTGTTTTTCTTTAGGCAATTGTCTTTCCACACACACACACCCGCAGATGCACTGCTCGACCAAATGCGTGCCCACAAACCACACACACACACACACACCAGTGTGCATACGAGGCCTGTTCCAGATTTTACTGAAACTCCTGTTGCAGATTATAATAGATGAACATCAATATCACTCAGTGGTTGTTATGCGAGAGCAGTTTTCCATAGACACCGATGTAGTTCATCAACTTATCACACAGGCCATATTCCCGAGCCATATAGTGCTAATTTTGTTCGACGACTACACTTCTTGTTCTGACTATTCTCGGTGGCTGTCAATCAGCCAGAGTGTCAACAACACGTTGGGTAAGAAGGAAAACGACAGTTTATGAAATATGTAGCTCCGGAATAATTGAACTCGATCGGCGGAGAAGCGCGTCATAGTTCTGGGTGGGATTAGTAATGAGCTAACATTAGAAACGAATAGTCGCACTTGTCAAACATAAAAGTTAACAACACAGGACGTGTCAAGCGCTTGCTTTTCTCTCGTGCTAAACCACTGTTCATTGTTCTTGACATTAACACAGATAATGCTTCAGAATAAAAGTAGTTTAGACATTCATGCACCGTCTTTGTTCATGCATCTGCTCTGGTTGATTGACCTCAAAGAGAAGAGGCATGCGATCAGTGAATTTTCGCTTCCAATCCAACACTTTAAGGGTGCGGAATTCACACCAAAGAATATGCCTACTTCGAGGAGCTCGCCTGTTGTTGACTGCACCGAATATAAAGGCGATGTTGTCCACATCGACTGAGTCGATTGCTCTCCTTATATCTAGCTACACAGCTGTATTTAGCTTGTCGCTTTACAACGGGTGGAAATGCGGCCAACATAGACTCTTGCCAGCTGCCAGCTCGTCTGTTACTCTTTCGTACGCAATTCCCGTTCGACGGTGTCGTGTCCCCTCGACTCGTTTACGCCACCCACGTCGCTTATTTAACCTTCATTTGACCAGCCATGTGCTCTTACCTCTTATTGTAACGCGTACATGTCAGAGCGGCTCATACACACGTTCCGTTGCTACTCTAATCTTCCGCCTTTTCGGGTTACAACGAATTGACGTCGCGGGCAGCATTATACGATACAGTCCTTGAGTGGCAGATACCATTGCACCTTAGGAATTCGACTTGTTACGTCGAAACTGTGGGTCGTTATCAATGACTATTTTTTCTGGCAACCCGTACCTTGCAAACAAACAACGGAGCCGCTTTTTGATGACGGCTGTAGTGACGTTGCCACACAGAATAGTCCCTGGCCATTTGCTTTAGAAACTGGTAGCCACTAGCACGTTTCGCTTCTGCAAGGGTGCATTGGCAAACGGGCCCATAATATCGATGGCAATTTTTACCCATGGCTGCATTGGGTACACTATAGGTTGGACTGGAGTATTCAGGGGCCTCGCACTCTTATCGGATTGTTGGCAAGCGCACTGTTTCCGAATAACCACCTCGACGCTAGAATCCAACTTCGGCCACCAATAGTATGGTCGTATCCTGGCCTTTGTTCACACAATCCCTGGATGACCGTCATGTGCACATTTAACCACCAACCAGCATGCGTTGGTCACATACTGCCAATGCCATTCTATCGCATTCCCCGACGACCTTTATTTGCGCCTCCCGGAAGTGATCGGAAAAAGTATCGCGGTAGACAACTAATGATGTGGACAATAAGCATGAAGATAGCAGTCTCAAACTTAGCTTCAGTCGGATCAGCGCGCCTCCCAGATTGGGGACCACATGACTCAGTGGAACTTCTGTCGTTGCAAACGCTGGATGTGATGGCACATAACAGATATCAGTGGCGCCAGTGTTGCCGTGCCGTTTTATCTGTTGATTAATCTCCAGTATATAAAAATCTCAAAGCGTCGTGTGTGAAACCCAAAATAGAACTGTCTCTTCATATTTTTTTCCCATGCCTAGAGTTTTCCATTTTGCCATGGTTCTGGTGGTACATTGTCTGTATACAGACACTGGATATGTGGTGGGTCGATGGAGCTGTGGGTGGTGCAGCACAAGCCATCCATGGTTCCTCTGTAGGCGCAGGCGTCCTGTGGCTGGTCACAGTGAAATTCGAAACCGGATGCCGCCAACTATGTTGTGCCCCATGCTGAGGCTTGTGTTGCATTCTTGATGCTTCTTCACCGCAGTTGGGCTAAACCAACTTACACTTACACTATGTCAAGATGGATACATTTCATTCCACTTTCTTTGGTTTGTTCTACCCACCTGCCTATTAACTGGCCACATTACTTACGCTAATTGCGCTTATCTTCGGTAACTTTGTTGCATTTGTAGCATTTTAAGTAACTTGTGGACATATTTTACTTATCGCGGATTTGTTGCTAACCAACTTACTTCACGTGCTAATTTAGCGAAGAGTTATGTCACTGATCTCTATGCATTATTCCGATTATTTTATTTCATCTTGTCGTTTCAAGTGATTGGCTGTTGCTTAATATCCCCGGTGTGGCTGCGCTTGATGTGCATGTTGACAAGGTGTCTACCTGTCTATTACCCACTATCTCATCCATACTGGCTCCAGAAGACAGTTGGTCGTTGCTGGAGGTGACGGAGTGCACGGTCTATGTGGCCGTGCTAGGCTCGAAGAGCGGTTCCAAGCACTCAGTGTGGAGCGGGCTACGGTCCAGCCACCTCCTTGTGTGTACTTGATTCTCCAAATACAGTGTGCTTGGGTTTGCCTGTGAAGGAGTGTTGGCCGGTTCCGTTGATGAAACGTGGCTCCCATCCACATGCCTCCCGGTCTTATTCCTTCTGGTTTACACTGGATATGGGGTGTGTGGTTGGAGCTGTGGGTGGTGCAGCGCAAACTATCCATGGTCCCTCTGTAGGCGCAGGCGTCCTGTGGCTTGCCACAGTGACAGGCAAATCCGAAACCGGATGCCGCCAACCATTTATATATATATATATATATATATATATATATATATAATCTGGAAAGCGATGGCGGATCCGATACAATGCAAACTTACGGGGGGAGCAGAGTTAACACAAAATGTGTGAGCACATAAGGTATACGTGCGTGATCGTGTCCGCAAGGGCGATGGTTTGCGGGCAGGGAGGGTCAAATGGAAGCAAAACTAATGCATGAGCGACGTAAAACATGTTCAGGCGGACTATTGGGGCTCTCGCTTTTGTCTGAAATCCATATTATCGACGCACTAGAAAAAGGTAAAAGTTCACGAGATGGGCCACTAAACATCGGTCTTAGTGGACCATGGTGATTCCGTTTTTCCTCTCCTCCACCTATCGCAAATTTTGATGAGAGCAGCTATTGGGGCTATATCAATGCACCATCTGGCATATCTTAGTGGATCGGGAAGACTACCAAACTCTTCGGTCTCTCGATTTAAAGCTGTCAGTGGTAGCTTCGCATCATCATCAGCAGCAGCATTATATCAATGAATTGGACTGGTGCTTCTCTACCATACAACCACAACGACCTACGAGACGAAGAGCAATAAGAGGGAGAAAACGGGAGCTTACCGGAAGACCTTAATGCCCTGAACAAACATTCAGGGTCAAGGCGCCTACACATTGTGTACACAACATATTCTCATAAGCAGCTGCCTATCGTGCAAAAATAAGGCGGTATCGGTGAGACAGCTTTCTTTCGACTTTCACTGCCCCGCGTCATGGTAAGCTATTACCCCGTAGATAACTCAGCACCAAACACGCTTTAAACAAGCGGTCCAGTTATGACACGACAGACGGCGGACGCGCCAATGGTGCCGACTTCGAGTCATGTCCTATAAATTCTCTAACCAAGCACAAGGCAGGTCACGTAGACTCCAGCCTGGAAGCCGAGATGGACCGACGGCACCAAGTCTGGTCATCAGTGTCTTCATGTCCCGCTGTCAAGTTAACTTCTATCCACCTCGAGGTTTGCGCGCCCCGTGGTCTTCGAGTACAGTGCCCGTAGAATGTCCACATATTTTATGAGAACACGTTTCCGCACAAGTATTTCGAACAGAGTGAATCCTTCGACTGAGTCGAATAAACTCTTGATGTCAAGGATCACATTATGGTTTTTTTACGGTATGCGTGATGCTGCTCTAGCACCTGTTACAGGGCGAATTTATGGTCTATACAGCCATGTCCTGGGCGGAAACTTGCCTGCTCTTCCCCACTCTGGGATTCTTGTTTCGTAGTGAGGCGACGAACGATTATCGAGGCCAGTAATTGTGCCACTATTAGCACTTAACCTGATGCTCTGTGGTTAGCACAGTTGGTGCGGCTATCCTTCTTGTATATTGCCACTTTAACCTATTCACTTCACCTAGTCGGAATGGTCTATATACTCCAGACCTGTTTGAACAGAGGTCAATGCTCTGCAGAAGACCTCATCACCATCATTAGATAGTGCAGGAGGGAGGGAATCTGGGCCAGCAGCAGGAAAATGATTAAGGGCTGCGATCGCGTTTCGGACCTCAGCCTCCGATGGAGCCTCTAAACTAACCGGCCATGACAGCCTGCACTATCTGAGTAGGAAGTGCTCCGAGCCAACAGAACTGATCTCGAAAGTGTTCCGCCCAACAAGGCACACCTTAATGTGCATCAGGGCACTCGCGCTGTATCTGACTGTCTCGCTGACACCTGATTTCTTGGGATCGGTGGTGCAGATCAGTTGAAAGAGCTTGTGGTAATTGCCTACCGCTCCTGTCTCCTTATTGGGTCATACTGATCCACCAGGTTTCCTAGTCAGCACGTAGGCTCCGCTTTAATTCGCATCTGATAGTCCGTCTAGACACATTGTGCTCAGACCCAGCCGAGAGTTTTCTTCTCTATTCCAACAGACTCGCCGACTTCTCGGATATCCAGTGACTGATGCGGTGACAATTGCTAGTGTCGCAAGCGTAGGCTCCTGCATAGTGCATGGCTGCCGAGATCCTATTCCATTGAAGCTCGGTGTCATTTGAACGAGAGAGCGAAAGTTCATTACACAGGGCATCGTGGTAAGCTTGCCTGTCAGAGGACTGTGAAAAATTCTCAGTTGTCAGTCGCGTCTCACAGAAAATCGACAGCGTACCAAGGTATGATCAAAGTCGACGGATGTACTCCAGAACGAGCAACAATCCAGAGTAGAACCACTTCAAATGTAATTTGCCGAAACGTGATCATTTTAGGTCCATCGCTTGCCAGCTATAGCAGGACGCCAAGTAGCACTGCGGCGCCTACTGTGTTTTAAAGCGGTGCTACTAAGAAACAGCCCATGATCCGCACACAGTTGCAACAGACGCTTGCCGCTGTACGTACGGTCGGAGTTAAGTCCATAATTATTACCTTGCTGAGCTTCTGAAAAGCTCAGACGACATGCGCATTCATATTCCCTGCAAGAACTGTGATACCTAAATCGGTAACACTGTGTAATGGCATATTCAGTTCGTGGTAGAAAGCGTCTTTCGCCGCATCAGGACTGCAGTTGGTGAGAGCGTAAGCGGAAACCACCAATAAACAGCTTTTAGTGCTATTTCGTGAATCAACCTTGGTCGGTGTCGTCAAACGGACTGCACACAAACGGCTGTTCACGGGACCCAATCAACCAACCATGACTCAGCCTTGGAGTTGAGAACGATGTCCACCCCAGCTGGACCAGTGGTTCCCGCATCAGTGTCTCCAGATGCGTACAACCAACATCCAGAGGACAAGCCAAGTGCAGTTAGCTCAACAACTCTATGAGGGTGATTAATCCTAGTTTTGTACACACAACGCACGTCAATACCCAGCGTGTCTAACGTGCGTGCGAGCTCAGCCTGTTGGCCTATTTGTCTCAGAGTGCGAACCTTGAACGCCGCCAAGGGAACGGGACAACGTCGCCTTATAAGCTACTGTGGCCGGTAGGCGTCCGGAGAGTGGTGTAGGAAGATAGCTGCAGGATGTCGAACTGCAGTGGCATTACGGCTGCTGTTAATTAAGTTGGGAATTATAGAAGGAACGTTGGTAATGTTGATCGAGATAGAAGTAAGAGAAAGAGGTGGAAAGGAAAGAAAGGAGGCGCCAGCAGTAGCATGTTTTCGCTTATCCGCCTTGCTGTGTGCAGCAAATAAGGCGACCCTTGAGAATCTGCACGACGGCCGGTGCATAATATGGTTAAATTTTAAAGACAGTCATGGCTGTACGTGGTTTGAGATACTGCCTAGGCGTCCAAATCTAGACAAGATGACATTAGTGTCCCCAGCCAAAGTCTGACTCAAAAGCCTGTCCTCAAGACGGCGGGGAGGTTGCAATGCGTTGCTTTTGTAGAAATGGACGCCATCCCATTTCAACCCCCACCTTAGGATATCAGCAGACTGCATTTGTCCAACCTTTTAACCATTAGCCAGCCTAGCAAGAGTAGCTCTCAAGGGGCCTGGAGGCACCATCTAGTATCGCTCAATGGGTCGAAAAGGTACGCAGACCGTCACACCGCATTAAGGTCCCGTCTCGTTGCGACAGCTTCACTAGGTGTGTGTTATAAGCCTCGCATGTGAGTTCACCGAGCCTTATCTTTTACAACGATTTCTTATCGGTAGTGACTATCAGGACCGATTCGTTATCATGTCCGTTAACCAAGGGTACGAAGGAACACATGTTCTCAGTCATATCGATTCAGTGCTCGTTTGCAGCACCCTACAGTACACCAGGACTACGTACTGATGCTGTACTGCCATGCGACGACAAGTGGTTTGCAAGCTGGCTGAAATGCTGTAGGATGTCCATAGTCATACCTGAGCGGGGTTCGAACGTGGCACGTACAGGCTGCAAGCCACACGTCGCTTCGCATGTTGTCAAGTATCCCTGTAGGTCACAGACTGAAACTATCAAAATAGGATCTAACGTTGTCCCGCGAAATGCGTGGATATTTCGGAACTTAGTCCTTCTGACGGACCATGTTATGGGCTTTTTATGGTCGCAACGTTACTTAGCCTATACATTGACTTCCCTATTTTTATCAGTTTTGTCACCATCTGTAGTCGTCACTCGACTTCCTAATCCGTATCTTCTGATGTTCTTCGAACGTTAAATTTCTGCACCAGTCTCTCGTAGGAACACAGCCACATTGCACTGTTTCTTCCCACGTCTACTGCAACTGTCTGCGTTCCCCTCGTCCCTTTTGCAGGCCCATTCCTCACTACCATTTTAACCCGGCTGGAAAACCTCCCTCGCAACTGCTTTTACGCCAATCTTCTTTTGACAAACCTGCTTTCCAGTTTGGCTGCATATCCTATCCCTCTGCTCAGAGCTATCGTCTTGTTTGTTCCCCCGGTCGCCCCGCTGGGTGAAAAAGCATCATATCCAAACAGCTTTAAAGGATCCGCATTAAAGACATTGAACGCAGCCTGTTGCCAGTTACCCCACGCAGTTCTCTCCGGTGTTCGAAGGCAATTAGATTTGTTCTCAGTGCAATACTCTGTCCACGGGAAGCATCGCGTTGGCAAAGCGTATTCCTTCATGGAACTGGTTGAAGACGCTAAATTGTATTTTCAGGCCTGTGCCGACCAACGACATTCCCCCACTATATTGAATGGAATTACGCTTGCCGCCTCGAGTGCGATTACGGGTGAGCGAATTTCTCTCACAGTGCTGTTTGTGTTTATTGTTGAGGTGCAAAATTATCAACCACTGTATTTACATTTTAGTTATGTAGTAGAGGGATTCGGTTATAGTTACATCAGGTTTGTCACAATTAGATTACAAGCCGCATGGGTGAGCTACCAATCCGGAAAAGCATCAGACGCGCGTTTCGTCCTATTTGGGCTCGTTAGTGGTACGCATCCTTCCCCCCCCCTCTACTGGGGATCGTACCCACGAGCGCTAAAGGCTAACGACAACTAGCCAGCAGCTAGTGATGCTCGCCTATCGTCCCCATGGCTCAGTGGCTTAAGCTGCTGGCTAGTTGGCATCTGCCTCTAACGGTCACGGGTTCAATCCCCGGTAGGGTACCGAGGGAATGCGCACCACTGCCGAGCCCCAATAGGACGAAACGCGCGCGTCTGATGCTTCTCCGGATTGCTAGCTCGCCCATATGCGGCTTGCAATCTAATTGTGACAAACCAACTCGAATTGTGGTGCTTTCCATGAATGGGCATCTATATTGATCTGGCAGTGAACCTGGAATAAGATGATTGACGTGGTATGTAGGCGAAATCTACATGCTTTGTAGAATATTAAAGCGCGCATAACGAACTTAGTTCTTGTGTACTTACTGAACCACTTATTGGAAATAATAGTGTGTGACGCAGCCTCATGATTCTGACACCAACTGTTTTAGAAATCGCGTCCCCCATTCGCTTTTGTTGAGAACGCTGCCAGGATTCCATCGGGGCATTCCAGAATAACAACCTTACATGGTTTACTTAACATACACCTTCGTGATGCTGCGCGTGTCCTCATTATGGTTCATTGCTGTAAAGCGTACTCTAACTACCAAGAAATCCACTGACCAGTATCGTGGTGACACACTCCAGATGTGCATGTGTCGCCGTACATTTCCTTGTGCTTTGCTTTTCCATCCATAGGCCACCTACTCATCATCATTATTAGCTTGAGTCAGTTATTTTGGCTGGCACATTTTTTAAACGACTCGTCTAGTGTATGCTTTTGCACTTGTATTCACACGCATTTTGTATGGGATAGACATTGATTTTACGCTGTCAGGATCGTTGCACTTAAAATGTCAACTTGGCCATGGCAATTGCGAAATAGTCACTGGTACACTCCTGCGCTTATCGCCTCAGATTTTTGATTTTGTACTGTTCCTTGGGCATAATGTGCTCTTTACTGTCATGCTTTTTAGTGCATTTAGTGGACTTGTTCCAGCGTAACTCTCTATATTCGGAAGGGCAGCTTTATGAATGTCCGTTTTTTGATGTCCAGTCTTAGCGCATTACAGCAAAGATGTCACCTGGTGTCCACGGATGCACTTCGAAAGTAGTCTGTTTGCTGTAACCGTCGAGCCGGAACGTAACCCACGCTCTGGTGCTATGTTGAAGGTGTGAGAATTTGATCGTTCTTATATTAAATCACTTGTTCGTTTATTACTTGGGGTCTCAGAATCAACTACCCTAACCGGTGTCTTCAGCACAGCTAATCCATAGGTTGGACTCCCTCCTCCCTACCTTTCCGTGGTGATGTGGCAGTGTGTTTTACAGAGCAGACTGTCTAGTTTACCTAGTTGTCACAATTCATTAACCACCGGTCTCGTCAAGGTTGAAGTGCGGTCAACTTTCGTGCCATTCTTTCCCTTGCATCCCCTATAGAATTTTGTGTTATATCTGCATTTAATCCCTAAATCATTCTGTAGGCGTTTCAACTGACAACCGCAATATACTGATTGCGTGCAAGTTAACTCACTGATGCCATGCTGCTCACTCTACCTGTTCCTTATCCACAATGTGAGACTGTCAAAGTCTTCAGGGCTTTCCAGTGGTTAGTAGGGTCGTGGAGACCATCGCAGTTCCTTCTCCTTGTATTTCTCCTAGGTGCCTTACATTCTACTGATTCGCAATTGTGCTAAGCCAATATGTCGAAAGTAGCTGTCGATTTTTTGCTATTGACAGTAATAAGCACGCAGGTTGCCTTTCTGAGAAACCGTCGCTTCTTTTTGTTTATCTGCGAAGTCTTCACGCCATGACAGCATGTTATCTTTTGTTGCTATTTTCGTTAGACCCTTTGAAGTGTGAGCGTCAATCAATTTTTCGCCGCGTATTCTCTCGCCGTCGAAAGAATCATGGGACCATTGGAGCTTCTAGGATTAAATCGGATACCTCGATCACGGAGCATTCCAGCTCGGCCAACTCAGCTTTACCGTTAGAGTTTGAGCGTTCCTCTTACGTCTCCACACTGTCAAGTAAACCTAACTTTCAGTGGCTTCCGGATGCACTACCTCAAAGCACCACAGGTATGAGACGTTTGGGAAACCATCAAACCCAAACGAAGCGAGGCAATCGAAAGTCCGCTTCGTTCAAGCGGGAAAAGATCAGCTGGATCACAATTCAGAGGATGGTTCTTTGTGCAGTGATCTTTGAAGAATTTTGCAAGGAACTCGCTGCTCTATGTGTTGAGCACAGTGTTCACGGCTGAATCTGGAACTCACTACTCCAGAATAGGGAAGCGTTCCAAACCTGCTTATCCTATTTGAGTTATTCAGTGCCATGACAGCTGCCCTGGAATTTTCCCCTCTGTTCACTTCCAAGAACGCAAACTGTTTATAGCACATTTTCTGCTTACATGCAGACCCTACAGTTCCCCTACCCAATTTCATATCCATTTTCATTATTGTCTTTCACTAAAACTTGGCTGTGACTCTTACATGTTTATTGCCTTGCTCCGTCCATTTTCTTTCTCTCGACACTTTTATATGTATCGAACATTCCATACCAACATGAGCAATTTTTGCCCCAAACCCAACAACTTTGGTCCAACAACAAGTCCCCCGTGCTCTTGTTCTCTGCTTTCACTTTATCATGGTTGTTTTTTCTTTGCGATGCGCAACATGTGTTTTCATGAGAGACACTCGACTTCTTTATTCAAACGAAGTTGAATTGGCATTCGCTTTTTTGAGACAGTTGACAACTACTATTGAGTTTAGGTAAGACTAATCGCGCCGACTGATCGATGCTCAACAGTGGAACCTTACAGACACGCGGAATTCCCTAGGACTCCTGGCGGCAGTGCAGTTCGACAGCAGTAACGCGCCATTGCATTGCTTAGTTACCGTCAAATCGTAAATTAAGGTAATCCACGTTAGTTATGGAGAATAAAACGTGGAGGTGGAGGACATACAAGCTTAAGATACGGCCTGCAAATGCCACACAGTCGCAAACCCATTCCTTACCGGGTGCCGAGAAGACTACACTGGTGAGCCAGCTTATTTATCAATCTTAATACTCCTCGCCACAGTTGACGGGATCTGCTTGTCTCCGCGATCACGGACAATCCCTGAATGCATTGCGCTGTCATTCATATCTCCATCAACAGTCAGCGCAATGCATTTTGTTCGGTAATCGCTTGTGATCTACACACTGAAATGCCGAGTGACCGACTGACACACCTGGAGTAGGCGGACGACATGACTTTCCTTGGGTCTGACGCAGTGGCTAGGTAAGCACTGCTGGATAGCCTGATACGTAGCGCTGCACGCTTCGGCGTGTGCTTTGTACTTACAGAGTGCAAAATACTGTTGCACGGATGAATCGACACAACTCCGATTCTGGCTATCACCAAACAGCCACTGGAAGTGGTTGTTCAGTTCACGTACCTTAGCATCTGTGTCACTGGTGACCAAATCACTGAGGAAATTAATTCACGTATTAGCAAGGCCTGTGTGGCTTTCCGGACTCAACTACCTATGGAGACAGCGGGATATCAGCCTGTCAGTGAAAGGTAGGCTGTATAACGCTACGGTAAGGCCCGTGTTACTGTATGGATCAGACACCTTGCCAGTCCACGACGAAGACATTAAACGCTTGGCCGTCCTTGACCACCGGTGCTTGTGGAGCATTGCTCATGTCTGGTGGGAACATCGATTGAGCATTGCTGAGGTCCACCAGTTGGTTTTTGGCAAGAAGCCTTCTGGTGCCTCACTCGAGTGCCTGCTTAATCTTAATCGCTTATGTTGGCTAGGCCGTGTCCTACGTATGCCAGTTGACCGGCTTCCTCCGCGTGCATTATGCGCCGTGGCTACACCAAATTGGATGAGACCGCGAGGTGGCCAGTCCATGACGTGACATAGTGACATGAAGAAATTGACTGGAGGATTTGGTCAGGCTGGTGCGCGTCCAGCTCGTGGATGATGAGCTGGGGATGGTTGGAAACCCCATCAGACATGTTGCAGTTGCGCAGTCATTGGCGTTCCTGCATTCGATTTCTCGCATCCAGCCGTTACTTTTCCTCCCATCCTGATTAGTTTAACTGACGTTCTCCTTGGTCGCCATTTTAGACTCTATTTGTGTTCAACCTCATTTTCTTGCCGTTGTTATTTATTGTTATTTCGGCGACGAGAGTCGTGGCAACGGAATCCAACGCACTTCGGTGCCTGCATCACAGTTTCTTTAACCTTACCGAACTTCTTAATAACACTAGTTCGGATGCATGTTATCTCTACTTGATGCGACCAAATAAGATCGAAACGCCCCGTAGAGTGCAATGTTTTCAAGCGCGCAGTGCCCAGTATTCATCTTCATCGTTTACGGTCCCAGTGATCGAACTGACCCTATGGTCCACTTCAACGGAGTCGCGGTTCACATTCAAATTGCGCATCGTAATCCAATCACACGACGAATATCTCAAAGTGACTCTTCAATTAATAACAATTCAAGTTATAATTCAGATGGGGGATAACGGCTTAAAATAGTCAGGCGCACTAATTAAAAGTCAGAAATAATGGAACAAATGTCTGAGCATCAGGCTTCGTGGCTCCATCTTATCTAATATGACACTTAACTGGTAGGCGGGGGAGTCCAGGACTTTCTGGAGCATGTGGTGGCACGGTCCCGACAATTCAAAGACCCGATGCTGCTCTGGTCCTGTCGTAGTCCCATGTTTTGGACGCCTTGTGGTGACTTCTGGGTGGAGGTATTTTTGTATCCTTCTAGTTAAGAGCCAGTATATATCCGAGTATATCTTATAGGATGTTTTCTCTAAGGACCCGAGTCGTTCTCTTGTTAAATTCTGGGCGCTCTGACAATAAATCCGTCCAACTACCAAACATGAACTCTGGCCCTACGCTGTATCGGCCATCGCGCCCTGGCAGCAAGTCAGTTCAACTAGGTAGTGTAATTCACACAAATACTCTCAATCTGATGCTGCATCAGCCGTCGCGCAATGGTGAGTGAGCGAAAGGGTCGTCTTATTTGCTGCACACAGCGCTGTGGATAAGCGAAAACATGCTACCGCTGATGTCTCCAATCTTACTTCTTCACCTGCACACACTCTCCCTGTCCCCATTTCACTTAACCCACCACTTCCTCTAATACAGGTCACCACCCATACGATTGCCCGGCGCAATCGTATGCCTTCGCACAAAGCGCTCAACATCCAGTGCTGGGACGTGCACACCCTGCTCGACCGGAACACGGGTGAGCGATCCGAGCGACGCAGTGCACTGGTCGCGATGGAACTCGCACGCTACGGGATCGACATTGCCGCTCCTTATGAGACTCGGCTCGCTGAGCAAGGGAAACTGCATGAGGCTGGTGCTGGTTGCACCTTCTAGTTGGTGTGAAATGCAACCACAACACAGCTTGAACATGAGATCGAATTTACACTATCCGGCCGCTTAAACCGCCAGCTAGTGGCAGAACCATCTAGCATCAGCGCACGACTCTTCGCCTGAGACTTGGAAGAGATAAATTTGCCACTTTCATTAGCACATATAGTCCCACCATGTGTTATCCTATGATATCTTGGAGGCATCTTACAGAACGACCTTGCAGCTTATGAGAGCATTGGTTGGTACCACCTCGGTCGTTGCTTGCACACAGTGGGCAAGCTTCATGCATATGTGGCACAGGTATTCCTGTGGGGGACGTTCCAAGAGAACGAATGTAAAGGACCCTTTTGCGGATACCGCGAGTTGGCGTACAACGCAGAACACTTGCTCATCCGCGAAACGATAAGTGCGCCGGGAATGATGAAGAACGGTGGACCTAGGATGCTAAATTCGCTACATTACATGGTGAATCGCTTTTGGATAGAAGACAGATGTACGTTAAACTGGAAGGTGCCTTGTGCTACCACTGTACATTGACAAAGAAAGCAATCAATGGGCCAGCGATTATCGTTACCTCAACTTGCTAATTTGCGTGGGGAACTGGTTGTTCGGATTCTGTTCAATCGCGTCGTCACTTACGTCCCTGGACTAAAATTGGCTGTGGAGCAGTGCAGAGTCCGTTCGGGCAGCAGTGCCATAGATGCGGTGTTCGCGGCTCGTCAATGGTTGGAGAAGTTCACCTGAGCTAGTGCTATCGCACCAAGTCAGAAGGTTGCTGTGTAAATCTAACCTAGATACGTAGGATTCTAAGTTTTCGTTTCATGCATCTATTCTTTAACCGCACTTGCGACAACAGGTACATTGACCGAACTGTGAACAGACTGTCAATAAGGATTGCAGAGCACGTCCTGCATAGCATGGTCACAAATTTCCCAAAGCTACCCACTAGCCAGATTGCCCGCCACATACTCAATCGCTGTGTGCCAAACCCCACATGGGGCGTCTAAGGTAATCAATGCCTGCTTCAGTTCGCTGAAACTGCGGTTCGGTGCTTGAAACCGAGCTTGTGCAAACGCATGGGTTTCGTGACCAACACTGGTGAGGCTAGTGATCGTTTTGCCCTCTGGTCGGATTCACGTGAACTCAATGGCTTTCGACCGCCTTAAATTTCACCGATAACATCGCAGGTTGATTATCTTTGATATATGCAACTTGTTCCCTCCACAAATTGTGTGTTCACGCTGGATATGTGGATGGATCTGTGGTTGGTGCAGTACAAGCCACCCATGGTCCCTTTGTAGTCGCAGGCATCCTTCAGTCCCAGTGACATGCAAGTCTTAAAACGAATACTGTCAACGCTGCAGTGCAAAACGACGCGCACTACCCCACAACTTCCTTGTGTTTTTTCACGCTCTTGTTACGTTTCTGACTGATTGTCCTTGTTGGCAATCGGCCCCGAAGTAGTCCACATATACAGCATTGTTAGTTCAAGTGCAATACTACAGGCTTTGTTGGCAGACGCCGACTGACGTAATCTGATAGCATTCATTGTGTTAGCAGGACATGGGCCGACACCGGTTGTCAATGATGTCTAATTCACTGACGTATTCAACGCATATTGGCCTCACAGTAACTTGTACACGCTACCCTTACGATGTTGTCCGAGATGATGATTGCTTTGTTAAGCTACTTGAATCCTACGGATCCTCCTTGCACCCCCCTCTGGTGAGTTAAACGCCAGTGATGATGTAACTACCAGGGTGAGTGAATCACTCGATCACTTCAACTGGCGGCGCACCACGAAATATGGAAGCAAATAATAAGGCAAAACAAAAAGGATATGAAAGCGACTTTTAACTATATCCTAGAGCGGTGAACCACAACCCACGGCTTTTTCATCCTAATACGACAATGGATTTTCAGCTATTAACGTACGACCACAGAAAAGTAATAACAAAAAATTGCGAAAAGGTCTCTTTTCGATAAACACTGATGTACCGGTATACAGAAATTTTGGGTTCCTCGGCAATTAGCTCGTTGTAGTGACATTTCATCAAGCTGAAATACGTAAATACACGAAGTACTGGTACATAGTAATTGTAAAAATTGAGGAAGTAGTCGTATGGAAAGCTCTCTTCACCCGCTTTGGTTTTGAATGTGACAGTTACTAAGCATATAACAAGCAAATTGACACAATCAATAAGAAACACCTTTTTGACTGCGGAATTGAGATACATTTTCGCCACGAACCAGGTAATTTCTGTGTGCAACAAAGGCACTGACGGAGCTGACCTCTTCT